ATGTGGTTCGAGTCCTGGACCCCCTGGCTTAAGAAACATGAGCATGCATGCCCCCAAATGCATGCATGCATGCCCCCAAATGCATGCATGCATGCCCCCAAATGTATGCATGCATGCCCCCAAATCCTGAGGCCAGCTTCTCGTTTCGGTCACCTACTTACTCCCCTTTTTATTCCACTGATGTGCCCCCTCTATCCAATTAACATGTTTAGTGTGTGTGTTTCATTTCTGTGTTCTCTTGCAGGATGGATAGTGACATTGTGTCCTGTGTTTCTTTTTTTTTTTATTTTTTTAACTTTTTTTTTTCCCAGAAAGTACATGCTTTCACCAGAGAGAAAGGCAGATACAGAGAGGGCGAGGGAGAAAGCACCCCCAAACGGTGCATAGCTACGCCACAATCCCTTTTCCATTTCTTCACCCTGTCAGGATTTGGGGAACACGTGTACACATGCTCTGAGTGTTTTTCAAGCTGCCCAGGCTAGGATTCAAACCATGTGGCTGTCCATGTGGATCCAGCTGCCTTAATCACCAGACCATGGAGCCGGCCCGTGGCCCGTATTTCTAATTGTGTGTGTTGAATTGCATTAAGTCTTTCTTTTCATCAGGGCCATGTTACCAAGCTCCTTCCAAAGTGCCATGCTACAGGGTACTCCCCGTCAGTCCCAGGGCCCATGGCTGCCCAGCTGCCCCAGCAATGGGCTTGCAGAGGTTGTACCCACTCACACCCCCACCGCAGGCAGCAAAGGAGGGGAACGTCAGCTCACACGCTCTCTCAGGGACTGTGTACGAATTTCTCTGACCTCTACACCCTGAGTATCACTGGTTTCCACAGTTTTGGACTTCTCAGACCAGTTCCAGCCGAGGATCTGGAAGAAACTGGAGCCGAGAGAACCAGGGGGGTGGTGACGTGGACGGAGCCTGGGGAGATGAGCAGGGACCAGGATGCGCTGGTCCTTTCTTGCTGGCCATGACAAAAATGTTGGTCTGCAGCCTGACCACAAAGGGAAGCTACTGAATTGAGCCAAAGACTGAAGCGGGGGCTCAGATTGTTTTTAAAGCAGCAGTAGGTCTTTAGAACTGGGAGGGTCCCTAAAGACCCCTCGTTCCCCTCTGAATTTATAGAAGGCCTGAAAGGCCTACAGAGGCAGTGAGGGCCCCAGGGTCACATAACCGCGCAGAGACAGAACACTCGGGCCTCTTGACACCTTACAATTATGGCACGAGTTTCCTGGGTTGCCAAGGGCCATCCAGTGATGATCGCCTTTTAGGGGCTCAGGGTGTGTTGACATTGCTGTCCCAGGGGCATCCTGGGACTCTTCTTGCTCACCTCCTCTCACCTGGACTTCCCTAGACTTCTGAGGGCATTTAATAGGACCCAGCGGAGAACCCTCAGCCAGGACCTGCCTTCCACTGCCATGGCCTTCAGGCCTCAGACCTTCCAAGGATTCAAAGGCAGCCCTTGTCACACTCTCTGTGCCAGCTAACTAGGAAGAGAGACAGCTGAACCAGACTGTTGAAGACAGACAAGCCTGGGTGGGGCCTGCAGCACAGCAGTTACGCGCTACGCAGAAGCTAGACTCCACGTGGCCGACCAGGCCCAGCAGGGCTAGAGCCCCAGCCCTACTAGCACCACAGCTGAAAAACACCGTGGGTGCACACATATACCTAGGGTCCTGAGAGGATGGAGAATTCGAGAAAAAAGGATTGCAGCGTGGCTGGGCCCTGGTAGGTGCACCAGTCTTGGCTCAGCCTCTTATTCTCTTGACCTCAGTTTCCACGTCTGTGAAATGGGGTGGGGCAAGATCTTCTCTTGAATCTGTTCCTTCCTCCCCATGCACTTGTGCTTAAGTCTCAGGCCCAGGTGGCCCCCAGGACACGATGGCCCAGGACCTCTGCTGTCAGTGTTTTCCGTTCTCCTCACAGGCAGCTTGGGGGTGGGGGCTGCGCCCTCCATGTTTCTCCCACTCTTTTCATTCTCATACTTACAGGCCTCCCTCCAGAGAAGCACAACGACCTAAGCCTTTGTTTGCAACCACAAAGCTGTTTGCAATTTCATTTAGAACCATTTTATTACATCCCGTCCAAAGAGTACTTAAGTGTCTTGTTTTGAGAGCTTGTCAGCGTTCTGGATTTAATTAACTGGCAGAGACAAAGCTGCCCCACATCCCCCACCCCCCAGTCCATGTATGCTCCATCCACCGACCCCACTTGCCAGACGGCAACCTCAAAGCCCCAACCCACATCCATCTGGGGCACCCACTGTCATCCTGGGGGACTCACTTGGCCACGCCCCCTTCGTCTCTAAACCCTGGCTACCATATATTGGGGATCTGGCACATGCCAGGCTCAAGGCTCCACATTTTCACATTTTATCTCGTGATATCCTCAGTCTGACGTAGCTGTTCCCAAGTAAGTGACGTTCAGGGCCACTATGTTTCTCAGGGTCACACGGGTCACCTAAGTCTGCAAGACTTCAAAATATTTTGCTGCGAGCCACTACAAGAAGCTATCTCTAGGGGTCAGCAGGTGGCATAGTGGTTAAGGTGCTGGACTCCCAAATGGCCAACTATGGTTCAAGTCCTGGACCTGGTGGCTTGCTTTCTCACTGTCTACCTCTCTCCAGTCAAATGGAATAATAATAATAAATAAATAAAATCAAATAAATAAAAAGAAGTTATCTCCTTGGGGGTGAAATAAAGGTGGGGACTCAGGTGGTGTGGTGGTTAAGGTGCTGGACTCCCACATGGCCAACTGCGGTTGAGTCCCAGACCTGATGACTTGCTTGCTAACTCTCTTTCTCTGTCTGGTCAAATTAAAAAATAATAATCATGGGGCCAGCAGATAGCATAGCAGTATGTCACTGGACTCCCACATGGCCAGCCATGGTTCAAGTCTTGGACTTGGTAGCTTGAAACTCATGCCGGGCACGTGTGCATATGTGCTCAAGGTCCCGAGAGGAGAAGGGATTGCAGCATGGCCATCCCCCCTTGGGGGTGATTTCTCACTTTTCCTCCTGCTGTCTCTGTCTCTCTCTCTCTTTCCCCAGTGAGTGCACTTGCCCTAAGAGGGGGAAAACTCTTAAAAATATAATGAATGAAAATAAATAAAGTTAAATAATCCTTTAACAAACAAAAAACCCAGAGGCATTTTGGGGAAAAACTCATAGATTTATTTGCAAGGTCCGTTCCTAGAGTAGATCATGTTACTGGGAAATCTCACCTTGAGTTTCTAGATACAGGTCCCACTTGTGCCTCCCAGTGGGCCCGTCCCAAAGCACAGCCTCTCTGACGTCTGCAACAGCCGCCCCAGCCCTACTAGCACCACAGCTGAAAAACACCGTGGGTGCACACATATACCTAGGGTCCTGAGAGGATGGAGAATTCGAGAAAAAAGGATTGCAGCGTGGCTGGGCCCTGGTAGGTGCACCAGTCTTGGCTCAGCCTCTTATTCTCTTGACCTCAGTTTCCACGTCTGTGAAATGGGGTGGGGCAAGATCTTCTCTTGAATCTGTTCCTTCCTCCCCATGCACTTGTGCTTAAGTCTCAGGCCCAGGTGGCCCCCAGGACACGATGGCCCAGGACCTCTGCTGTCAGTGTTTTCCGTTCTCCTCACAGGCAGCTTGGGGGTGGGGGCTGCGCCCTCCATGTTTCTCCCACTCTTTTCATTCTCATACTTACAGGCCTCCCTCCAGAGAAGCACAACGACCTAAGCCTTTGTTTGCAACCACAAAGCTGTTTGCAATTTCATTTAGAACCATTTTATTACATCCCGTCCAAAGAGTACTTAAGTGTCTTGTTTTGAGAGCTTGTCAGCGTTCTGGATTTAATTAACTGGCAGAGACAAAGCTGCCCCACATCCCCCACCCCCCAGTCCATGTATGCTCCATCCACCGACCCCACTTGCCAGACGGCAACCTCAAAGCCCCAACCCACATCCATCTGGGGCACCCACTGTCATCCTGGGGGACTCACTTGGCCACGCCCCCTTCGTCTCTAAACCCTGGCTACCATATATTGGGGATCTGGCACATGCCAGGCTCAAGGCTCCACATTTTCACATTTTATCTCGTGATATCCTCAGTCTGACGTAGCTGTTCCCAAGTAAGTGACGTTCAGGGCCACTATGTTTCTCAGGGTCACACGGGTCACCTAAGTCTGCAAGACTTCAAAATATTTTGCTGCGAGCCACTACAAGAAGCTATCTCTAGGGGTCAGCAGGTGGCATAGTGGTTAAGGTGCTGGACTCCCAAATGGCCAACTATGGTTCAAGTCCTGGACCTGGTGGCTTGCTTTCTCACTGTCTACCTCTCTCCAGTCAAATGGAATAATAATAATAAATAAATAAAATCAAATAAATAAAAAGAAGTTATCTCCTTGGGGGTGAAATAAAGGTGGGGACTCAGGTGGTGTGGTGGTTAAGGTGCTGGACTCCCACATGGCCAACTGCGGTTGAGTCCCAGACCTGATGACTTGCTTGCTAACTCTCTTTCTCTGTCTGGTCAAATTAAAAAATAATAATCATGGGGCCAGCAGATAGCATAGCAGTATGTCACTGGACTCCCACATGGCCAGCCATGGTTCAAGTCTTGGACTTGGTAGCTTGAAACTCATGCCGGGCACGTGTGCATATGTGCTCAAGGTCCCGAGAGGAGAAGGGATTGCAGCATGGCCATCCCCCCTTGGGGGTGATTTCTCACTTTTCCTCCTGCTGTCTCTGTCTCTCTCTCTCTTTCCCCAGTGAGTGCACTTGCCCTAAGAGGGGGAAAACTCTTAAAAATATAATGAATGAAAATAAATAAAGTTAAATAATCCTTTAACAAACAAAAAACCCAGAGGCATTTTGGGGAAAAACTCATAGATTTATTTGCAAGGTCCGTTCCTAGAGTAGATCATGTTACTGGGAAATCTCACCTTGAGTTTCTAGATACAGGTCCCACTTGTGCCTCCCAGTGGGCCCGTCCCAAAGCACAGCCTCTCTGACGTCTGCAACAGCCGCCCCGCTCACCCCGAGCAGTCTTGCTAGTCAGCGTTGGGATGGAAACAGACTATCTCGAAGGCACAGGTAAGCTCAGTGAGGGGCTGGGCCCTGAGCAGTGCTAGGCCCATGGTTGCTGGATGGACTCATGGTTCTGGGGCCTCCACTGTCCCACCACGTATTCTCAGACTCCCCAGTTGTCTGCCACATAGCCCCAAGGGGGAACAGGAAGTGAGGGGGGTCACTCCTATGGCCTCTCCCAGTAAGAACAGGGATGCCAGCATTGCCACTGGGCTGGGCTCTCCCTCTCAGCTCCATGGCAGTGCTGAGGGTGTCATGCTGGATGGTAGAAACGGGCAGCTGGGCCTGTTTCTTCGAAGCTCCTCACTGCTCCGCCCTTCCCAGTTCCTCTGGCACCACCTCGCTTGGCGCTGCGTTTAGGGCCTGTGCTCACAGGACTTCGTATAGGCCTGGGAGGCAAACCCACCCACCCTATCTCCAGGTATCAGGGCCTCCAGACTTTTTGTGGAATAAGAGAAAGCATAGACTGTGGAGGCCTACTCACCTGAGTTCAAACTCCAGTTCTGCCACTTCCTGGCTGTGGGACCCCAGGTGAGTCACTTAACTTCTCTGTGTGTCTGCACCTCCCTATGTAACATATGGACGACAATGTCAACCCACAGCATGGCTGTGAGCATTCAGGAGCATAAGGCTCACAATGGGCCTGGCCCAGAGCTGGCAGAGCAGGAGTATAAAGAAGGGGAGACTCCTCACCCCGTTGGTCAGCCCTTCCACAGGTCGCTAGAAAATTGCCCAAGGTGTGCATTGGGAAGACGTGACACTGCGAGGCTGACTCTCACAGAGAGGCTCTAGGTTCATGTCCAGAGAGCTCCTGAGTATACCGTGCACACGGGTGTCTGTGGCCCAAGGCTGGCCGGGGTGGATTGTGATGTGAGGGTGTGTCCGCTGTAAGGGTGTGGCCACTGTGTGTGTGTGTGTGTGTGTCTTTCTCACTCACTCTCTAACTCATGGATAAAATAGATAAATGAACCTTTTATAAAAATGAGCCAGTAGGGGGACTAGCGGTTAGCATAATGGCTATGTCTCTGGACTCCCATGTAGTCGACCACAGTTCGAGTCCCAAACCCAGTGGCTTAAACTCACGCCAGGCACGTGTGCGTGCATGCCCAAGATCCCGAGAGGAGAATGGAGGAGAAGGGATTGCGAGTGGCCATCCCCCCTGGGGGGTGATTTCTTGCTTTCTGTCTCTCTGTCTGTCTCTGTTTTTCTGGCAAGTGCACATGCCCTATAGCAAAAACCTCGCAAAAAAAAAAAAAAAAAAGATACCCCCTGTGTTCATGTGCCCAAATCCTGAGAGGAGAATGGAGAAGGAACTGTGCATGGCCATCGTCCCTGGGAGGTGATCGCTCACTTTCCCTCACTGTCTCTCCCTGTCCCTGGCAAGCACACATGCCCTTTGGCAAAAACCTAAGAAAAGAAAAAGAAAGAAATTGCATAAGGTCACCCCTGTTCCTCCCATACTCCCTTCCATCCCCACAGTAGGGTGGGAGAGGTAGTCCTTTTAAACAAGGCATCAGTTTCTGGTGGTGGGACTTTGGACACCATGAGAGGCGGTGGAGCCCAGCACCACCCACAGATGGATGGGAGACTTCTTGTTGTTTGCTGTTTTTCAAGAGGTTTTTGCCTTAGGGCACATGCACTCACCAGGGCAGGGGAGACAGTAGGAGGGAAGGTGAGAAATCACCCTCTGGGGCGATGGCCATGCTGACATCCTTTCTCCCAGGATCTTGGGCAGCACGCAAATGCACCCAACATGATTTCAAGTCACCAGGAAGGAATGTAGGAATCCAGCAACATAACTGCTGTGCCGTCCATTGGCCCCAGGAGACTGTTTTTTTTTTTCTTTTTAATAAACAATTATTATTTAATTTGACCAGAGAGAGAGAGAGAGAATAGGCCACCAGGCCCAGGACTCAAACCATAGTCAGCCATGTGGGAGTCCAGCACCTTAACCACCATGCCACCTGCCTCCCCCTCCCCCAGACTTCTTAAGACAGTGTAGAGTGGAAGCCAAATGCCTGGTCCTGCCTTGTCTATGTGGCAGCTAATTCAGGGGGTCTGGATGCAGACTGCCTGGGTTCTAGTCTTAGTTGCTGGACTCCCATGTAGTCGACTGCGGTTCGAGTCCTAGGCCCATTGGCTTAATGTCCCTCGGCCTTGGTTCCCTTGTGTGTACGAAGGCAGTGAGAAGAGCATCTGCCTTCCAGGAGCATGAGGACTGAGTGTGTAAACATGCCGAAAGCCCGTGGAATGCTCCGTGCGCGTCAGCTGCTGGTGCTCTCTGTAGCTCCTGCCGCCGGACTCCACCGTGGCTGGCAACTGGTGTTGGTCAAGCCATTTCCCTCTCCAGGCCTCAGTTCCTCCATCTAAGAGATTAGCCGGCTAGCCCAGATATTCCTCAGGGTCAGTGAGACTCTGAGCCTGTGACTGTGGAGGCCCAGCCGGGACTGACGTCCAGGAGTGTGAGTTCTCTTGGGCAGAGCCCTGCAACTGCGTGGGCATGGCTGGGAGGTCACTCCTGGCCACGTGAGGAAGGGAGGAAAAGCTCACGGGGACAGAGCTGCCCTCCTCTGTCAGCAGGGACGGGCTGAGCCAGCCTTCCACTCCAGTTCCGGTGGAGCTTGGGAGCTCAAAGGCTGAGTCACTGACAGGAAAGCGACAGTTCTCAGGCTCAGCAGCACCAGCCGCGGGCACGGAGGAGCTGCAGTTTAGTGGGGGATCCGGGAGCGGGGCAGCACAAGAGGGAGGACAGTGTTCCCACGGATCTCAGGTGAAGGCGTTTGCCTGAGACCAGGTCCTACCTTGCAGTGTCCTTCCTTCCTTCCCTCCTGACCAAAGAGCCTTGGAGGCTCCCTCAGCCACAGCTGGGGAGGAAGCACGGAAGCTGCACACCACCTCCATGCAGCAGGGTAGGGGTCAAGTTCCCCAGACACAGGGCGTCCCTCCGCCCCTCCCTCCCCAACGCTCACCATCCTCCCTGCCTTTGTCATAGTGACCCTTTACTGAGAAGCAGGATGGCAAATGGAAATACCTCTTGGTGTCAGGAAGTCCTGGGTTTGATTCCCAGGTCTGCCCTTACCTAGGTAAGCATTCAATCTCCCTATGCCTCGATTTCCTAGCCCGGAAAATCCCTTCTCTCTGCACAAGAGGCAAGCCCACAAGGAGCCCAGTGTTGATCCATTTGTCAGCAAGCTGCCTGTGAGTCAGGGTTTCTTGTGTGCAAGGCAGCTACCTCGCTGTGAACTGTTGAAAAGCCAGCTCTTGACACAAGCGGCCGCCTCTCACCGACGAAACGGGGCTGGTGATGATAACGTCCACCTCACAGGGCTGCAGGAGAAGCAGATGCAGCTGCACGCACAGAGCGCACAGAGAACTGCCCAGAGCCCCAGGTGGGCAGGGGGTAGGAGGAGGGAGGACAAGGCAAGGGGCCGGCATCATCTTCAGGGACAGGCCAGAAGGACACATGGGCCCAGGGCTGCAATGGTGCAGCAGGTGGGAGCGGCTTTGGTCACGGCGTATTCCCGGAGCCTAGCCAGTGCTCAGCACAGCAGGCACGCGGGAACACTGCCCGAATTGCGTGAAAGTGGGTCTCGGTGTTCCCAGTGCTTGGCGTGTAATTGATACTCAATAAATCATGCTGGACTCGCAAATGAACAGAGACTAAAGTCAGAGAGACAGGTTCCTGGCCCGGTTCTCCACCTCTGCATTTTCCACCACTTTATCACAGACCCCACTGCCCCTCTGAGGCCAGTCAGGTTCTTAACCTCAGGTCCATGGGTTTCTCACCCCGGATTATACACAGAGTATAGTATGTGTTTGAAAAATGTGTCTTCCTGGGGGAAAAGATGCCAGATTTCTACCCGGGAAAACTTGTATGTAAACCCTGCCCAATAAGTTGTTTTACTGTGTTGTTTTTGTTTTTTGTTTGTTTGTTTGTTTTTTATTTAAGAATAATAAGAGAGAGAGAAAGGGAAAGTGAGAAAACAAGCCACCAGGTCCAAGACTCAAACCATAGTTGGCCATGTGGGAGTCCAACGCCTTAACCACCACACCACCTGCTGGCCCAACACCTTGTTAAATAAAGCTTAATTAAGATTTGGGACCAGCAGATGGTGTAATGGTTACATCACTGGACTCCCACGTAGTGAACCGTGGTTCAAATCTTGGACCCAGCGGCTTAAAACTCATGACAGGCGCATGTGCGTGCATGCTCAGAATCCTATGAAGAGAAAGGAGAAGGAATTGTGGTGTGGTCATCCACCATAGGGGGTGGTTTCTTGCTTTCTGTTTCTCTGTGTCTCTGTCTCTCCAGCAAGCACATGCACCCTATAGTAGAAATCTCTCAGAAAAAAAAAAAAAAAAAGAGGATGTTCCTCTGTTCATCAGCTAGATTCCTCTGACCCCAGGGTCACTATTCCAGGAGCCCAATCACGAAAATAAAAAGCCCTGCCTCTATCTGTGATGTGCCTAAAGGGTCCCATCAGCCTGCAGTTTTTCTCCGGCCCGGATACGCAGATAGCCCGCTGTCTCCTGACCAGAAGTGATAGTCACGCATGTCCCAGGGCCCGCCTTCCAAGGGGCTGTCCTGCTGGGCGGGTCTCACAGAGCTCCAACACTGTGGGTAATGTGGTCAGGAGTTGGGGCCTGAAGCCTGGGAAAACGAGGCTTCATGGTATCTGAACTCAGAACCTTGATTTCTTTCTTTTAAATATTTTTTTTCTCACTGCAAATATACATGTATACATACGCGGGTGCTTCAAAAAGTTAATGGAAAAACCCCTTGAAGTTTACTTAGATACAAAGAATGTTTGAAATCCTTGTATATTTTTTTCATCATACGCATTTGCCTTGGACCTTCTGAAGACCTTTCTTGTGTGTGTGTGTGTGTGTGTGTGTGTGTGTGTGTGCATGTGCAGTACTCATTCCACGACCCCTCCAGACACCCAAATCCAGATGCCCTTACGTTAAACACACATGCACACACTCGTTCGTTCATTTATTGGAGGCAATTTAGGATATATAAATGAAATCACCTCTGGGCTCACCCTCCCTCAGAGAACTGCTGTCCACGCCCGGCCTGCATCCTCCCCACTGCTGTCTGTAGCGTGTCCGAGGCGTGTGCTGTGTGAGCGGCATTCGCCACGCTCCACACTGTACGAGCACCAGCTCACGGCCATCGCGGCGTACGGCACACGCTCTCCGTCTTTCTATGGCACATTTACACTTTCCTCCTTTCTGAGGCCAGTGAGATCATACTGCTCTGTAACCTCGACTTTCTCGCTGCATCCCATCGAAGCTTCCTTCCGTATTATTAAATATTCATCCACAGAGTCCTTTGTAACGGCTGCGTGATGCTTCATTACGGGCAAGTTCCACGTTTCTCAGACTGGGGCGTGTGTGCCCCTGAGGGCAAAGCCACAGGATACGTGTCGCCCATCTCCCTGAAGCGCGAATTTGACTCAAAGCTTTGGGAGGGAGAAAAACGTTATCTTAGTACCAAAATGAGTTCAGATATACCATAGCGTAGAACACAGAACACTCGTGAATTCTACAACAAAGCAGCAAAGTCCAGGATCATGTGAGCTTGCTTTGATTTCCCGAAAGCCCGTGTTCCTTCTTGTCTGGGGTTGGGAGAATAATCTAAGAAGAGCTCAATTCTAGTTTCGATCCCTCTTTTTGTAAACTAAAGAAAAGCTGAGACCGAGAAAAGGAATGGCCCAGATCTGCAGCGTGTGTACTGCGCAGTGGAGATAGAGAACCAAGAGACCCTCCAGGCCTGTACCCTCCTACCCTCCCTTTGTATCAGCTGTGAGAAATCAACTCTCAGCCCATCACGAGTAGAAACTCTTGGCTTCATACATGTTTTTTGACAGCAGCTTTCTTTTCTGCCTTGCTCCCAAGAGCTGAGCTGACTTTCAGGTGGTCGATAACCATACCATGCCCTTACACCCCATCAGTACCAAGATTGACTGCTTAATGCATTGTGTCGTGAAGATGTATTTGCTGATCTGTTTTACCAGAGACCGGAAGCCTTTCAAAGACAACAATTATGTGTTATCTCAACACATTTATTAAGATTTATGGGTCCATGGGACCAGCAGATGGCATAATGGTTATGTCGTCAGACTCCCACATAGTCGACCATGGTTCAAGTCCTGGACCCACCCACTTAAAACTCAACGCCAAGTGCATGTGCATGTGTGCCCAAAATTCAGAGAGGAGAATGGAGGAGGAGGGATTGTGGTATGGCCATGCCCCTGGAGGAATGATTTTTCATTTTCTGTCTATCTTTCTCTGTCTCTCTGGTGAGTGCACACGCCCTATAGCAAAAAATCTCTCTTTAAAAAAATGAAAGATTTATAGGGCCCAGCAGGTGGCATAGTGGTTAAGGTGCTGGATTCCCACATAGCTGACTCTGGTTCAAGTCCCAGATCCTGCAGCTTAAAACTGACATCTGGCACATTCTCGTGAGTAGAGAATGGAGGAGAAGGAATTTCAGTGTGGCCATCCCCCTGAGGGGTGATTTCTCACTCTCTCTGTCTTTCTGTGCCTCCAGTGAGCGCACAGGCCCTATAACAAAAATCTATCTAAAACATATATATATATTTAACAATTTATTGGGTACCTACTAAATGCCAGGTGCCATGCTTGATGTTACGGTATCTAAGTCTTTGTAGCAGCTATCCAGATAGGTATCGTTATCTCCATCTATCATATAAGAAAACTGAGTAAAACACTATCACCCACCCATTATCTTTCACTTATCAGTAAACACTTATTGTAGATGTAGACGTCAGGGCTTATGCCAGCTATTCTAGACAGTAGATGCTCATAAGGAAAACTGGTCCTACCACACCTGCCCTCATGGAACTCCCGGGTGAGTAGAGAAGACGATATTCAACAAATCCGTTTACAGATCATCCTGAGCGTAGTGTAGCCAGGAGCCCATCCGACCACCTCAGATAGAACCTCCCTCTGCCACTTACCAGCTAGGGACCTTGGGCAAATCTAATATCCCTGCACCATACCTTCCTGCTCTGGGAAATGGGTATAAAGTAGTACCAACTTCATGGGGTACTGGGGAGAGTGGCTGAGCTACCAGATGTCGAGCACTCCAGGCAGGCTCTGCATGTCCCAGGTGCATTGTTGATACGGTAGCAGGAGGGAGAGCGATGCAGTGCTAGAGTGTGACAGGTGACACCTACTTCAGGTGACGTCGAATCGATGTCTGCAAGATGATGGCCTTGGGAAAAGAGTGTGAGCAGCAGGGCTGGCGGGTGGTGCAGTGGTTATGAGGTGCTAGACTCTCATGTGGCTAACTGTGGTTTGAGTTCCGGACCTGGCAGCTCACTTTCCCTTTCTCTCTCTCTATGTCTCTCTCTGGTCAAATCAAATAATAATAACAACAAGTAAAATAAATAATTATATGTGTATATATATATATAAAGGGACCAGCAGTTGGCATAATGGCTGTGTCACTGGGCTCCCACATAGTCGTCCCCAGTTCGAGTCCTGGACCTAGTGGCTTAAACTCATGCTGGGTGTGTGTGTGTGTGCCCAAGATCCAGAGAGGAGAACGGAGGAGAAGGGATTGCAGCATGGCCAGGGGGTGATTTCTCATTTTCTGTCTCTCTGTCTGTCTCTCTTTCTAGCAAGCACACATGTGCCCTATATCAACAACCTCTCAAAAAAAAAAAAAAAAAAAAGTGTGAGCAGCGACTTAAAACTCAGGCCAGGGTGTTGGAGAGATGTTGCAGACAGAGGGAACAGCATATGCAGAGCACAGAGCACGGGTTCAGTTAGGAACTGCAGGGAGTATGTCAGCAGCACGGCAGGCAGGAAGCCATCCAGGGCCAACAGCTCAGAGGGGGAAGCCTGTGAGGCACATGAGTGTGTCCAGGACCTGGGCTCTTTGCTCCTGGTCCGGGAAGGTGTTCGCAAACATTTATCAAGTGAGTGAGCAAACACATGGACAGACAGCTAAGTTGGTTTCACGTGGTTTTGTTGTTGCCCAACCATAAAAGTCCATTGTCCCATCTGGTGTGATGTGTGGATGCCTCACCCCAGCTGTCAAGCCATACGAGTCTATTCCGTTGCTCTGTCTCTCCTTGGCAGTAAACTCTCCAGGTGAGTTTGGGTGGGGACCTCCAACAGCTGGGACTCACCGCTGGCATCTCCATACCAGGGCTGGGGTCACAGATGTTTAGCACTGGAACTCTCTGTTGAAATGTTCTTAGTGGAAAACCAGCATCTGTGGTGGTATGGGCAGAGCTTCTACACCGGAAACTCACAAACACGAGGGCTTTGTAAAACACAGAGAGCCAAGGGTCAAGCCCAACCTCCACTTTCCAGATAAGAAAACTGAGACCCAGAGAGGTAGTGACTCCTGAGGTCACACCAACCAGGAACAGACCCCCAACTGGATTCGAGGTGTCTGGCCTCAGTTCTGCTATACCCAGATTTCCCTGTACATGGCGGTGACCACCCCCCCCCCAGTGAGGGCCTTTATGTGGGAGAGGGGTACATGGCTTGATCTTGTCAAGAATCCAACCTCCAGCCCCAGCCAGGGCACAAGACAAAAACCCAGAGGGCAGGCGTGGGTGGGCTGTTCAGGGGCACGGCCTGGTTATGCCGTGTCTTTTTTTTTTTTCTTTTTTCTTTTTTAATTGAGTTTGAGGTGGTTGTTTTTTGCTTCCTTAAGAAATGGAAAAGAATGAAGCTGCGTAAATACGACGATATTAACTCCCTGAAAAACCTCCTGCCATTTTAACTCTGTTACTGGAGAAATAAAAGAGAAATAATTTGTCCACCCACACTTAGCTCTTTCTGACGAAGGTAGGTGAATATTGCTTTGCTAATCGAGGGTGACTGCTGGAAGTAGAGCCACGCTGACTGATCCCGGGGTTGAGAGGAAGCCACAGCAACCCCAAGAAGAGCGGCCCGCCGTGGTCTGCAGAGCCCCGTGTGCAGCCAGGGCCCGGAGCTGACGCCATGTCCTGCCTTCCACAGGTTTCCCCCAGCCGGTAGTGATGGAGGCGCTGGACGAGGCCCAAGGGCTCCCTGACTCGCAGAGAGAGATGCCACCGCCACCCCCTCCCTTGCCGCCCTCAGAGCCAGCTCAGAAACCACCACCTCGAGGCGCTGGGAGCCACTCCCTCACTGGCAGGGGGGTTCGCCGCCTCCCAGTTCCTGGTAAGGATATCTCAGGCCTCGAGAGGTCCTGAGAGGGTGGGTTGAGGGACAGCCTTCTACTTCCTCCCCAAGATGGCCACCTGGGCAGGCCAAGGGATGAGGGGCTTTCTTGGTGTCCTTTGGTGACTCCAAGCCCTCTGCAAGCTCCAGCTCCAGCCTTGGGTAGCTAAGCCTTTCCCACCCCACCCTCTGTAACCCGTGCCCGCACCCCCCACCCTGCTGAGGCACAGGTAACCCAGAGGACTTCCTGCTACAGGGGCATTTGGGGAGGGCTTCCCTTGGCTTTCTCTTGGCTCAACTTCAGCCAGCTTTTCTCAGGGAGGTCCTGAGCCTCCTCTGGGCGCATGGCATCTAGGTGGCCTTTCCCTCAGCCACCCAGTCTGGATCTCAGAGGTTCAGGAGCCTCCTAGGAGGCCTAGATCAGGGCTGGAGGTGAGCTCTGCAGGGGGACTGTAGGGGCAGGGGGCTGGCTCTGAGCTCAGTCCACCCCCTTGCTGCCCCAGCTTGCCTGTGGGGTGCTCTGGTTCAGCGGTTACGGCCACCTCTGGTCGCAGAATGCCACAGACCTCGTCTCCTCCTTGCTCACACTCCTGAAGCAGCTGGGACCCACGGTGAGTAGACTCCGGAGCCCCAGGAGGCGGGAAGATAGGTTGGGGGCCCTCCAGTCCCACCCTCCCCAACCCCTGTGTGGGGCTTCTCAGTTCAGAAGCCCTTCTCACTGCTCCCCAGGACGAGGGATGGGATGCAGTTTTCAGAGCCACGGTGTCACCGTAGATGTCGATGCACATCGTGCCCCCACCACGGCCCTGACCTGTTGGTCTGATGTTCTCTAGGCCTGGCTGGGTGCTGGGAGCTGGGGCGTCCCCAGTCTGCTGCTGGTCTCTCTGTCTGGGGGCCTGGTCCTCGCTACTACTCTGGTAAGGCCCCTCCTGACGCCATTCTCAGTGCTCTCCTCCTCAGACCCTGAGACCCTGACCCTGCCAGCTCCCACCTGACCCCTGGGTAGGCCAAAGACAGGTAGCTGTCTCGCTCCACCAGAGGGTGCCTAGCCTGGGGTAAGACCCACCTCCTTTCCAAAAGCTGGTTTGCAGTGATCTGGTCTGGGGAGAGGGACTGAGGCAGGGAATAGACTGATGTAGGAGCCCCATACCCCACAAAGAAAGTCTGAATTCCCAAGGAACTGAGAGTGGGGAGGACAGGGCAGGGAGGGAGAGTGGGGGTGGGGCCTCTCATTACAGGAGGGGCAGCGCCATGTAGATAGCTCCCAGGAGGGAGCAGCAGGCTCCCTCTCCTGGGCACCCCAGGAACCCAGGGGACAGGCAGCTTGGTCCCAGGCCAATGATGCTGTATGCCCTGATCCAGGTGTGGCACCTCCTGAGGGCCCCCCCAGAGCCGCCGGCCCCACTGCCCCCAGAGGACAGGCGCCAGTCAGTGAGCCGCCAGCCCTCCTTCACCTACTCGGAGTGGATGGAGGAGAAGGTCGAGGATGACTTTCTGGACCTGGACGCCGTGCCCGAGACGCCTGTGTTTGACTGCGTGATGGACATCAAGCCTGAGGCCGACCCCGCCTCACTGACCGTCAAGTCCATGGGTCTGCAGGAGAGGTGGGAGGGGTGGAGGAGGGGTGGGCTCCCCGGGCCCTCAGGCTCTCGGCTCCCAGTCAGACGTGTGGATGCCTGACTCTGACTCCAGGTGCCCAGGACAGAGCTGGCCTCACAACTGAGCCTGTGCAGAAACATGCTCTTCAGGCGATACACCTTGATCAGCATGCTCCAAGATGGATACTAGGAAATGCCGTGACCACACACACATACGTGGGCATACAGTGTACACACGTGCACACACACACACACACACTCCCCTGTGCCCGGGTCAGTCTGGTTCTGTGGTCACCCTACTTTTTATGTGTTTCTTTTTGTCTTTCTCCCGTGAGAGAGAGAAAGAGACAGACACCCCAACAGACCCTTCAGACTGCAACCCACCCCCAACCTGAGCCAGCCTGGGGCATGGGCGTGGGCATATGCACACACACCCAGCGTGCACAGGAAGCCCCGGGACCTGAGCCGGAGGAAGCCCTCCCCGTGGGCCCAGTTGCATTACTGCTGCCCTACCATCTGGCCCAGAACCTGATTTTATTTTAAGTTTGTTTATGTCACGAGAGAGGAAGACACACACCCTTAACAGGGTCTTGCTCCATGACCCTTGTCCTCACCCTGCCTCTGGCATTGCAGCGTCACACTGCTGGTGCACCACCACAGCTGGGCTGCAGAACCCCGTTTCCACAAAGTGTCTCGTAGCATTCCATAGAGCACACTTCACGAGGTATAGATACCTTTCTTCAGAGCCCACCGGCTGAGCCAGACCCCAGCGACTGTGCATCACCCACTGCTGTCGTAGCAGGATCCGTAGATGAAGAGTCGGAAAACCTAGCTTTTTGTTTTGGCTCTGCCGCTCACTCCCTTATCGTGAGAACCTGGGCAATTCTTGTTCCTGATGGAGACTCAGTTTCCCTTTCTGTATATTGAAGGCGCTTCCTCTTCCATGACTTTAGACTCCGAGCCTAGTAGATCTGTCCAGGGTAGACATCCTTGGTGCCGCCGTGCTGCTCTGGGGACTCCTCCCTTCCCTGGCAGCTGAGGGTCCTCACCACCCGACTCACTGACAGCCTCGTCCCAGAGCCAGGCTCGGGCCTGTGAGGCAGAGGGTCTGGAGCCGTCCTCCCAGGCACCCATCCTGCTGTTCTGCTGTAGGCGCCTTGTCTGTGAGCTCCTGGGGGCCGCGGGGTGGACCTGCCTGCAGCGGTGACAGGGGAGGGGGCCGTAGGAGCCACTCTGGCTGGAGCTTTTGGAACCCAGCCCTAAACCCCTGGTCGGTTAGCTGCTCTGCTGTGGGAGGTGAGAGTCAGGCCTGCACCTCGGGGCTGAGATCACACTCCTGCGGTGGGGGGTTTGTCACACCCCACTTTCCTCCCTTAAGCCCACCCTGTTCCCACCCTGATCTCCTACTCCATCAAATCCCCCAGCCTCAACATCCAGAGCTGTTTGCTGCCTCTTCCTTCCCCTGAGACTCACTCCCCGTTTTCTCACCCTTCCAGGAGGGGTTCCAACGTTTCACTGACTCTGGACATGTGCACCCCGGGCTGCAACGAGGAGGGCTTCGGCTACCTCATGTCCCCGCGCGAGGAGTCTGCCCGGGAGTACCTGCTCAGCGCCTCCCGCGTCCTCCACGCTGAGGAACTTCACGAGAAGGCCCTGGACCCCTTCCTGCTACAGGCAGAATTCTTTGTGAGTCCCCTTGAGCCGGCCCCACTGCGGGCAAATCTTCCTGCTCAGGTCAGACCTCCAGCCAGCCAGGCAGGGAGCACGGTGCCCAGAGCTCAGCATGGGGAGTGGACTAACACCCTTATATTGCCAGCTTTCTCACCTGCGGGTGCAAGCTGCATCCCCTCCAAGTCTAACTTCCTCATCAGGAGAATGGGGTAAAAATAATGGGTTGTCGCAAGGATAAAAGGGATTGAGAATGTGCAGCGCACCCTGCTGGGCAATCGGTGTACTGCTCTGTGGAAGCCTTCAGTGCCCGGGACTATGCTCCCAAAGCCACAGAAAGCCTTCCCCTCTGACTACCATGTTCCCATGCTCCTCCTGCCCGACATCACCAAGCATTGTTCATCCTCTGGAAATCTTTCCAGGCACCCCCTCTCCTTACCCGGCTGGGGCACTCACTTGTATCCTAACTTCCCACCTTCCCCCCGACCTCAGTAACAGCCTTCGGCTGCCTCCTGTGGACTATGAGGGGCCCAGTAAATGACACCCCTGTTTACCTGCCTCATTAAGAGCCAAGACATAGAAGATCACATTATCACCTTTATTATCATTAAAGAATAGGCTTTTGTTCCTAAGAGAGATTTTTGCAATAGGGCACATACACTCGCTAGAGAGACAGAAAAATAGAATGCGAGAAATCACCCCCGAGGGTGGGGGTAGAGGGCCACCCTCAATCCTTTCTCCTCCATTCTCCTCTTAGGATATTGGGCATGCATGCACACATGCCCAGTGTGAGCTTTAAGCTGCCGTGAACCACCGTCAGACATGTGGGATTCCAGCACCCTAATCATTAGGCCATCTGCTGGTCCTAAAGAATAGGTTTAAAATGGGGCTTAGCAATGTGTAGTCCTTGCGAGTTTCCTAAGACCAGTTTCCAGGGTTAGATACACTTTACACCCACCAGAGGTGATGCTAGCACATCACCAGCCTTGTCCCCTAAGGTCACCCCAGAATTCCTTCTTGGCAGGAGAACTCTGAGAGGTGGAGGAGGGAAGGGTTTGAGACCCAAAAGCCCATTTCCTCAATCAAACTCACCAATCAGGAAACCCCACACACACACTTCTGTGGGCAGGAGTCAGAAGCCTCCTCCAGTAGAAGCCAGAGGGTGAAGGGAACACACGCCTCCTCCACATCGCCCCTCCTTTGATTCTTTTTTCTTATTTTTATTTTTGAGAGGTTTTTGCTATAGGGCGCATGCGCTCACCAGATAGACAGAAAGAGACAGAGAGACAGAGAGAGAGAGAAATCACCCCCCAGGGGGGATGGCCACGCCATAATCCCTTCTCCTCCATGCTCCTCTCGGGATCTTGGGCACACACACACACGCGCCCGGCGTGAGTTTAAGCCACCGGGTCCGGGACTCGAACTGCGGTCGACTACGTGGGAGTCCAGCGACATAACCATTACGCTAACTGCTAGTCCCTTCCTTTGGTTCTTTATCCCAGGCCATTTGCTCCCTATCTGGACCAGAGGGCTGTCCCCTCTGAGGAGCCCCTTCTCACCCTGTGGCCTACCCTCCAAACTCTTCGGCACTGGGTTTCACCTGCTTAAGAAGCCGGCTCACGGGACCAGCAGTTAGCGTAATGGTTATGTCGCTGGACTCCCCCGTAGTCGACCGCAGTTCGAGTCCCGGACCTGGTGGCTTAAACTCACGCCGGGCGCGTGTGCGTGTGTGTCCAAGATCCCGAGAGGAGAATGAAGGAGAAGGGATTGCGGCGTGGCCATCCCCCCTGGGGGGTGATTTCCTGCTTTCTATCTCTCTGTCTCTCTCTGTCTGTCGGGCGAGCGCACGCGTCCTGTAGCAAAAACCTCTCAAAAAAAAAAAAAAAAAGCCGGCTCACCTCACCTGAGTCGTCAGTCCCAGCCCGTGTCCCTCCCTGAGCCCTACAGGGGCTGGCCACTCCGACCTGGGCTAGCCACACCCATGCCTATGCTCAATCCCTTCTCCCGGGAAGCCTCCATGAAGCCTTCTCAGACACCCAGTCTCATCCCCCACTCAGATCTCGCCACCATCGTCTGTCCTTGACGAAGGAGCTCCCTGGGCAGTGGGTCGTCGTGGTTTCTGCCAGGAAGGAAGGAGCAGAGCCTAAGCACCAACTCCGTGGCAGATGTTGCACTTTTGTTCTCTTGATTCTCACAACAACCCTAGAAGGGGTTATGATCCTCACCTTACGAAGTCCACACGAGTGTATCCAGAAACAACATCGGGTGTGAGACTGCGTGCTGTCAGGTGCTAAACCATAGGACAGACTGGGAGAAGTCATCCCAGAGGACTCAGCAGGGAGGCAGGGCTTAGGTGGACTACAGGGTGGGAACAGTTTGGAGAGATGGAGGAATGGCCCTCGCTCCCAGCAAGTCATGAGTTCGGGCCTGGAGGCAGGACTCAGAAAGGCCTGTTAACAGCAGGGGAGAGGCCAACTTAGCTGGAGCTAGAAAGGCCCTTCCCCTTGGGGATCAGCAGATGGCATAATGGTTAAGTCGCTGGAATCCCACATAGTCGACAGTGGTTCGAGTCCCAGACCTGGCGGCTTAAACTCATGCTGGGCATGTATACGTGCATGCCCAAGATCCCAAGAGGAGAATAGAGAAAGGATTGCATCAGGACCCCAGGAGACCCCCACCACCCCCGCCAGAGGAGTTCACACCTGACAGCAATCAGGAAGTACAGGCACACCCTGGGAGCTCAAAAGGAGGCTCCTTTCCTGCTGGAGAATGAGGGAAGGCTTCTCAGAGGAGGTGGTCTTTAAAGAGAGATAGGACATGAGGAAATGAGGATACGGTGGCTGTTGCCACAGAGCAAAGAACCACAAGACCCCGAGATGGGGCCACCCAGGACAGGAACACAGATCAGCAACCCCACCCAGTGTGGCAGCGCTGCCATCGGCATCTCCAACAACCTGTGACTTATTTTACTTTTAAAATACTGATTTGGGGGCCCGGCAGGTGGTGTGGTGGTTGAGGGTGCTGGACTCCCACTTGGCCGACTGTGGTTCAAGTCACAGACTTGGCACCTTGCTTTCTCACTCCCCCCACACCTCACTCTGTCCCCCTCTGGTCAAATTAAAATAAGTAAATAAATACAGTTAAATAAAATAATTCTTTTTAAAAATAAATAAATAAAACGTCAGCTTGTGGTTGCCATGGCTTCCACAGGGTGCGGAAGAAGGCCTGACTGGCCAGGTCACTGTGGGTCTTGCTCTTCTTCATTCGTCAGGCATTTATTGTCTACTGAAAGCCAGGCTAGCCCACCGTAGACAGCAGGCCCAATACCGTGTCTGTGCCAGGCATATTCTAGATGCTCCGCGTGCAGTAGCTCATTTAACAGCGCACGTTTGTTGAATGAATGCGTGACTCAGCCCCCAAACTGGAGGACTGGAGGCCAGGCACAGCTCCTCGTGCGTTGAGACTTGGAGCCCAGCTCACGGCTGCTCACACTCATGTCCTACTCCTGCAGGAAATCCCCATGAACTTTGTGGATCCAAAAGAATATGACATCCCTGGGCTGGTGCGGAAGAACCGGTACAAAACCATCCTGCCCAGTGAGTACACACTGCCCCGAGGGCACGGGGCGGGCTCACCCCACCTGAGAGCCCTCACCCCAGTGAGACCTTAAGCCCAGAACTGAGTCTCCAGGGCTGATGGGACACCGTCCTGGAGAGGGGACAGAGGGTTGCGGGAGGTGAGTGCCCAGTCAAGGGCAGGGCCGCTTGGTGAGAACTGGCCCAGTTCACCACTCAGTGCTCTCGGCCCCTCGCCTTGCCTGGGCGGGTGCGGAGCTGGGCTCTGCAGAAACCCAGGGAGGACGGGTGGCGGTCACGGCAGCTTATCGGCAGTGGGTGGTGACTGAAGGCATCTTCATATCTGTATCTCCTCAGAGTGGGCAGATTTGAAGAAGAAGCAGTTAAGGCTCAGAGAGGTTAAGCAGCTCATCCACAGTCACACAGTGAGGAAGGACAGAGCTAACTTTCAAACCTGGGCCTCTGTGACCCCAGAGCCAGGCTCTCTTGTCTTCCTTGTGCTCAGTTTGGTCAGATTATGTCGCCCATCCTGTAACCTCAGAGCTAGGAGGACAAGCTGCCCTGTAGGCGGTGAGCTCCCATCACCGTCCCCACGTGTGGTCAGGCAAGGGTACGTGAGCAGCCCCCTGGGGCTCTCTTCCTTTGGAGGTAACAGACCCTGACCTAACGCTCCTCCTCCAGTGCCCACGTGCCGTGTTCAGGTAACTTACTGAGCACCTATCTGCCTGCCACTCCCGCCAGTGTGTGGCCCCAGGCCCCAGGGCCAGCTTGGGGGTGACTTGTTGAAGGCAAGTGCCCACGAACTACTCCTCTCAGTGTGTGGAGTAGCAAGGCTTTAAAAATGCAGTTTTGCCAGCAGCATCTCCAACAACACGTAAGATGTCATGACTTATTTTTAACTTTTAAAATATCGACTTGTGGTTGCCATGGCTACACAGTCTCTAGGTAGTTCCGGTTAAACAGAGCACCATTTAAGGCCAGTATGCGTTCTTCAGAGCTGCTCACCTCTCCTCTCAGCTTGCCAACTCCTCCTGCCAGCCCTACCTAGAGGGAGGGCTCAGGTACCCCAGAGCCTACGACTGGACCAGCCACTCAGAATGGCCTCTAGGAGAGAGCAGGAGTCAGGCCATGGCTCCGTGTGGCCCCGCTGGATGGCTGAGAGGCTGGAGCCCCCCAGCAACCTTGCCCTGAGCTCCAGGCCCCTGAGCCCAGCGAATGGTCTCGTCAGTGTCCAGCAAGAACCGAGTCCTACCCTCAGAGATGAGGCTGAGGGCAGAGGCAGGCCAGGTTTGGCAAAGGCCTCCTCTTAGGGCCAGGACGCCCTGGGGTTTTTTCTCTTATTCACGTGACACACATTTCCTGGGAGACGCGGACTGTACCAGGGGACCCCGGCCTAGTGGGAGGGACAGGTCTGTGGACAGTTGCAGTCTGAGTGACCAGTAGCCCAATGGCAGCGTGGAGAACATGTGAGGGGGACAATCTCTGTCCCTGTCACCAGGCACCCACAGTGCCCAGCACAGGGTAGGCATTCGAATGAATGAATAGTTCTCATGTCCAGCCCCCTCTTCATCCTCATTGTCCAATGACTCTTTTTTTTTTTCTTTTTTGCCCAGTACCCAGGGGCGCCCTTTCCATAGACCACATTGGCATAAATGCCCCCAGAATTGCGCAAGGCAGGACAGCCCTGTGCTTCTTGACCTTCGGACTCGGATGGTAGAAGTCACCTCCTAACTGGCCTCCTGACTTCTGTTCTCTCCCCTCATGTGCCCAGCATGATTCTCAAGCCTCCAGGTCCCGGACTCGAACTGCAGTTAGCCATGTGGGAGTCCAGTGCCCCAACCACCACACCACCTCCTGGCCCCTCTAGCCTTAATCTTTATATACCTTTTTATTTATAAAGCTCTTTACAGTTTGCATAGCTCTTTCACATATTGTTTTCTCATTTTTCTTCCTAGTAGCCCCAGGAAGTGTAGGTGTCCTTACCCCATTTCACGGTCAGGAGAACTGAGGACTAGGAAGGTCACGTGTTTTACAGCGAGCCAGTGACCGTGTGTTCTCAGACTCTAAGTGCCTCCTGCCATCCAGGTGCGGTACCCTGGGTGACTCCATTCGTAGCTTTCTCCTCTCGAGAATGTACGACGTAGTGAGTTCGGGGCAGCCAAAGGGACACAGGCACAGGGCAGTCTTTGCTCCTTCAGAGACTGAGACTCAGGGGTCCCGGACTCGAACTGCAGTTAGCCATGTGGGAGTCCAGTGCCCCAACCACCACACCACCTCCTGGCCCCTCTAGCCTTAATCTTTATATACCTTTTTATTTATAAAGCTCTTTACAGTTTGCATAGCTCTTTCACATATTGTTTTCTCATTTTTCTTCCTAGTAGCCCCAGGAAGTGTAGGTGTCCTTACCCCATTTCACGGTCAGGAGAACTGAGGACTAGGAAGGTCACGTGTTTTACAGCGAGCCAGTGACCGTGTGTTCTCAGACTCTAAGTGCCTCCTGCCATCCAGGTGCGGTACCCTGGGTGACTCCATTCGTAGCTTTCTCCTCTCGAGAATGTACGACGTAGTGAGTTCGGGGCAGCCAAAGGGACACAGGCACAGGGCAGTCTTTGCTCCTTCAGAGACTGAGACTCAGGGCCTCTCTCTCCGTCTTTGTCATCCTGGGACCTCACCTGCCTGAAAGGACCACAGATAAGTCAGTGTTTTGCTTCTAGAGACAGGAAGAACTTTTAGGTCACAGCAGAAACATGGGGGCCCTGGAGTGAGCCAGAGAAGGTGGGCCTTGACCAGAAGCCCAGCTCCCACCCACCCTCTCTCCCCCTCCCAGACCCTCACAGCAGAGTGTGCCTGACCTCACTGGACCCCGACGACCCTCTGAGTTCCTACATCAACGCAAACTACATCCGGGTATGTGGCCCTGTCCTGACGACCCCTGGCTGGAGGGGAGGCCTGAGCTGAAGGGATCCATCCTCCAGGCTTGTCCCCAAGCCACTCTGGCTCCTGCCAGCCCCAGGGAAGAGCTGAGTGTGGGGACTGAGCCTGGGAGCACTCCCTGCCCCTGACAGGCTGGCCTTGGCTGGTGCAGGGCTACGGTGGGGAGGAGAAGGTGTACATCGCCACTCAGGGCCCCATCGTCAGCACGGTGGCCGACTTCTGGCGCATGGTGTGGCAGGAGCACACGCCCATCATCGTCATGATCACCAACATCGAGGAGATGAACGAGGTAGGGACACCGCCCCGGCACCAGCTGCCCGGCCCTACACTGAGCGCCGAGCATTCGCGCTAACACTTAGGACAGTCTCGAGAGGCTGGTAGAGTCCATCCCACTGAAGGTGAGGAAATATGGGCTCAGAGAGGTTCGCTCGCTTGCTCAGGGCCACACAGTCAGAGGCAGAGCTTGTCGCTGGCCTCTCCCCACCCAGCGCCCATGCTTTTAAACAGCACTCTGATGCCTCCCAGCCTGCCAGGACTGACTGTCTGCACCCATAATGGCCCATGTCACTGAATGCCCATAAAAGGCCTTGCAGAGGGGTATTACTCCCATTTTCCAGATGAGGAACCTGAGGCTCACAGGAAGGAAGTAGCTTTTGGGTTATGAATCTGAGATTTGAACCCAGCACCCTCCAGCAGCAGGCCCGATGTCCCTGCTGACTTGGGAGAGAGAATATAAGAAGGGGAGAACACACGGAGGAGAAGAGGGCGGGGAAAATTCGGGAGGGGACCAGGGGTGTACTGCAGCCTGATCTGAGCCCCCGCAGAAATGCACCGAGTACTGGCCGGAGGAGCAGGTGGAGTACGATGGCGTGGAGATCACCGTGCAGAAAGTCATCCACACCGAGGATTACCGGCTGCGGCTCATCTCTCTCAAGGTGAGGCGGGGCCAGGGCTGGGCTGGGAGGATGGAGAGTAGGGCTTCATCGAGCACTCCACGGGGAACAGGGCCCAGAAGCCCACGTTTCTGAAATAAAGGCTTGTGTCATTCCTGGGATTTACTGATAATCAGGGCTGATGAAGGAGGAAGGAGTGAACCGAGGGGCCAGAGGCAGGCCCAAACCCCACTTGCACGTCCCAGACTTCATTTGCATTCACTGCTCTGGGCTCTGTCTCTACACTGTCACTCATAAAGCCTTCTAGCTGTGCTTCAAATGCACCCCAGGCCAGGAGGTGTCAGCAACCCCAGCACTGTCCTTGTCACTGAACATTCGTTAGGACTTTGAAGTCCCCTCCTGGAACATCCCTTCTACCTGGTATGCGGCACTTTTGGCCGGTAGTGCCCGATCTGTCCACCAGGGGACAGGCTCTCCTTGCTGCTTTGGGGTTCAGGGAAGCTGTAGTTACAGAAAACGGAATCAGGGGAATTAGTGGCTCTGTTTTTGGGAAATGGTAGACCCATGTTTGGGGAAGATGGAGCCCACTGTACTAACCTAGAAAGTTGGAAGAAGTGAGCCAGGAGCTAGGAAGCTGGCGCTAACCAGAAACAGCCTGGGAAGCCCGCTGATCCCGACGGCCACCAGGTGCTGCCACAGGAGGTAAGCTGGAGGCCTGAGGGCCAGCTTCTCAGCAGCCCCTCTGCTCCTGGACAGGATACCAAGCAGGGTGTCAGGGGGCTCAGGGCAGTGCCCACCTGAGCAGCCCTGAGACATGAGTCTTACGAGGGATGAGGGGCCAGGAAGTGAGGAGCAGAGGCTGTGGCTATCACCAGCAGGTAACCCAGGACCTGAGGACCTGGCTTCCTGTGTACAAATGCCCCAGAAAGAGGCTGGGGTCAGGTGGGGCTGCTCATCTCAACGCCAAGGGGCTGCTCGGGGCACTTTGGGGCTAGAAGATACTTACATAAACCATTATAAGCACCTGCCCTGGGCTTGGTTTTGGGTGGGCCACTGGGAACACAGGGCTGTCCGAAGCCTGGACTCTGACCTCAAGAAGCACCCATAAGATGTTTAGTGCTGAGCTAGAGATAGGTAAAGAAACAGGAGGAGGACATACTGCCAGCTGGCACACTCAGGGAGGGCTTCCTAGGAGTGGTGATGCTGGTGTCTTAAAGGATGAGTGAGCACACCGTGCCCCTGTGTGCGTGCTGCAGATCGTATCTGCAAACCTTTCGGAGTGTGGGAATGTCAAGTGCAAGTATGCAGGGCGAGGCTCGTCTGGGAGGGAGACCCCGTACCGGGGGTCTGTACCAGGCTGAGGACCAGGAAGAGTGGTTTGTCCAGACAGCAGTGAGGGCCACCGTGGGGATCTCGGTCTGCTGGGCTGCAGTAACAGACTACCAGAGACCAGGCAGCTTATGAATGAGAGGTTCATTTCTCACAGCTCCGGAGGCTGGGAAGTCCAAGATTTGGGCATGGGCGAGGTCAGGTTCTGGCGAGGGCCTGCTTCCTGTTCATGTGTCCCATGCCAGAAGGGCTGAGGGAGCTCTCTGGGCTTCTTTTATAAAGTCACTAACCCTGTTCATGAGGGCTCCCTCTCATGACCTAATCACCTCCACAAATCCCCACCTCCACGCACCTTCACACTGGGGATTAGGCTTCAGCATACGGATTGGGGGGGGGGGGGGGGAGGGGGGGGGGGGGCACAAGCGTTAAGCTCCAAGCAAAGGGTTTTGAGCAGGAGGGCCACGGTGTGGACTTGGGGGCAGCAGAGTTTGGGCTGCTATGGACCTGGGGCTGTCAGGCAGGAGGGAGCGGTCCCACCTAGAGATAGATGACCAAGGTCAGAGTGGAGGAGGTGGTGGCAAGGGGGCGTGGAGAGGAGGTACAACTGGTGACCCTGAATGAGCACAGAGAGGGGCCAGGCAGGCAGACCACAGCGAGGGAGAGTCTGGGGCTCTGGGTCGTGTGAATAAAGGACAACTAGCCATTTGTTAAGAAAGGGACCCCTGGAAACGGTAAATCGGAGAAGGGGCTCTTGGCCTCTCTTTGGGTGGCCCTGAAGTTCCTGGGCCGGAAGTGAAGAGATCAGTGTTGGCACTGCTGGGCAATGTGGTGATGAGAGGTAGGGTCCCACTGTCGGTGTCCTCCTCTCTGCGTTTCCCTCCTCTCCCCTGTCTATGAGCTGCTCTGTGGGCTGAAGGAGTTCCCATGTCCCTGTCATGTAACCATGGGCCACTGTCTCCTGGGCAGAGCGGGACGGAAGAG